CATCTCCTGGATCCTCCCAAGGGGGGCCTGCGCACCTCGCTGCGCGCCCGTCCCTCCCTGGGCCGCCTCGGGCGACGAAGGTCTTCAGTTCGCTACCTCGTTCCGCCGCGCCCTCCCCTGGATCGGCGGCGAGCCGGGGGGTGGTGCGGGCCTTCTCAGAAGGCTCGGATGTTCTCGGGCCTTCCGAGAGCTTTCCCACTCCTCTCTCGAAGACGCAGAGCACTCCCAAGAAGGCTGGGGGCCTTCTGGGAAGCCCCGCCGCTTTCTGAGGAGGCCTTCTCCTTCTCACCGCCTCCTCCGCCTCCTCCTCCTCCGCCTCCTCCTCCTCCTCCTCCTCCTCCTCCTCCCCTTCCCGTTTTCCTCCTCCTCCTCCTCCTCCTCCTCCTCCTCCTCCTCCTGAGGAGGACTTCTCCTGCTCACTGCTCACCGCCTGCCAAGGTGCCCCGCCGCCTCCTGAGGAGCCCCGCCGCCTGCCAGGGGGAAGGCCCTCTGAGAAGCACCGCCGCCTCCTGCGAAGGCCGAATGCCTCCCGAGAAGGCCCTCTGAGAAGTCTTCCCCCGCCTCGCTCGCCGCCCTCTCCTGCTGGAGGAGGAGGAGGAGGAGGAGGAGGAGGAGGAGGAGGAGGAGGAGGAGGAGGAGGAGGAGGAGGAGAGGAGGGGGAGGATGAGGAGGAGGAGGAGGAGGAGGAGGAGGGGGAGTGAGGAAGGAGGAGGAGGGGAGGAGGAGGAGGAGGAGGAGGAGGAGGAGGAGCATCCTTTGCATCCCCGCCGAGCCTCGTTCCGCCAGGCCCTCTCCTGGAGGGCCTTGGCCCGCGGAGGCTGCGCCGCGCTGCTGCACCGCGCGCCACCCCTGCCCCCCGCCTGCGGCCTCCGCGCGTGTGCGCCCAAGGCCCGTGCGTCGCGCTCCCGCCCACCGCCCCGCTGGGGAAGGGCTTCCTCCTTTTTCTCCTCTTTCTCCTCCTCTTCCTCCTCCTCCTCCTCCTCCTCTTCCTCCTCTTCCTTCTCCTCCTCCTCCTCCTCCTCCTCTTCCTCCTCCTCCTCCTTCTCCCTCCTCCTGCTCTTCCCTCCCCGCTGGGGAAGGGCCGGCTGGCGCCTGTGAAGGGTCGCCAGCGCGACTCTGGCAAAGGGGCGCGGGGGGGACACCGTGCTCCGAGGAGGTGGAGGAGGAGGAGGAGGAGGAGGAGGAGGAGGAGGAGGAGGAGGAGGAGGAGGAGAAAAAGGCACTATGCCGGTGGTTTTCTTCCGTTTCCGCCTCTGTGGGGCCTCCTGGGAGACCCTCGTCGCCCCCGCTGGGCTCGCCTCGAAATCCTGGTCAGAACACGCCCCGGGAGAGGCCTGGGGAGTCGCGGTATTGTCGGGTGAGTGGTAAGGGGGGGTGACTCATGTGGGCCACCCCCCATTACAACCCGCCCGGTATCGGCACCTTTTCGTTCCCCCACGTGCTGCCCAGCAAGGTCGGGGGGGGGGAGGCGGCCGTGCTGCCCAGCAGCACATCCGCGCCCTCTTGCTCTTCGGGCCGGTGGCCGCCCGGCTCCGCGCCGGTCCCCGCTGCTCTCGCCGCGAGGCGAGCGGGGGCCTGGAGACCTCCTCGCCGTCTATCGGGCCTCCTCCTCCTCCTCCTCCTCCTCCTCCTCCTCCTCCTCCCTCGTGCCCCGGGACTCATAGACGATACCCGACGGGGCCACACCATTTTGAGGTGACCATGGAGTTGCATGTGGGCGCCGCGTGTGGCACCATTCGCTCCAACGGCAGCCCCGTTGAAGCCTTTCATCGCCAGCGCAGTCACCTTCTGCCTAGCCGCCGACGCAAAAAGTGTGGCGCTGCGTTGCTACTGCCTTGCCAGGAGGGGCCGCTCCCGGTCGCCGAGCTCTTCCCCCGTGGGGCTGCTCGACTGGCTGGCGCAGCCGGCACTGCCTATCTGGGGCCATCAAGGAAACGGTTCAGGATCCGGATCAGAAAATGGCTTGTTCAGCGTTCTGGTCGGCCGAGTTCTTTTCAGGTGGCCCAGGATCGACGCCGATGGTGGCCACGGTCCATACTGGCCGCCGCCGCGTCGCGAGGATGATCCACTCATTGGCGATGACCAATGTGGAGGACGACCAAGATCGCCACCGACGATTCCGCGTTGAGTCTTGGTCATGCGGCCTGCGTCTTGACCTCCCGTGCACGGATGAGAAGTTCGAGCCTTGCAGTGCAATATGCCCCCCCGCGTTAATATTGAGGTTGCGGCAGTGTGGAGGGCTGGAGAGTAACATAAATGTAGGTGGATTTTAGGGGACTCCAAAATCATCACCCATACTAAAATCAATATTGATCGCGAAGGTCTCATCGCCGGTGCCGCCGACCCTGAGGGGGGACGTCGACGACGACGGCGGCGGTGGCGGCGGCGACGACGACGACGCTGACGTGGGCCCGAGTCCTCAGGGATGCTTCTTGGGGTCTCTTGGGAAGGCTCTCGAGGGCCTCTGGGGAGGAATGTTGGGGTCTCTTGGGAGCCCCTTGAGGGCCTCTTGGGGGCATCACCCATAGTAAAATCAAGATTGATTCCGGGTCCGGGGGGATGATCAGGATGCCCTCCGTTGGCACCATCCAAACATACTTCTATTACATGTGCAGCGGCCCCCCGAGGGTCACGCGCGCGCCCAAAAATCTTGTAGCATCTGCTCGGTGGCGGGCGCTTTCTGGCCATACCGCCTGGGTAGCGATATGCCAGAAGATGTGTGGCGCCGTGAATTCGGCTCGGACGTGCGCAGTCAAAAGGTGGCGCACAGTACCAGTATGTCCTTACATCTGGCCCGCCTGTTTGATGCGGTTCGATGCGGGGCCCGATTACGAATTTCAGTTTCCTATCTCACGAGCGTGTGGCAGAGTTGCCGGGACGAGAAACTTATGATCCTCCCCGAACCCCGAACTGTATTCCCCGGGTGGGATTATCAGGGGCATTCGGCTACTTGGGCCCCACCTGCAGTGGAAGCCCATGCCAAGAAAGACCCTGCTTGCCTCCAGGGCGCCCTGGGTTTCTTGGGTGTCGGTGGTTCTGCTGCGGAGCACGTGACGTGCGGCGCTCCCACACCAAGCATCCATGGACGTCCCGGGGTCTCAGGTTGGGCTTCGTGTGGCAGGCTTCTCGTGGTCGAGCTCCTGCTGCAGGAGGCCTCTGCACTTGCCGTTCGCCCGCTTCCCTCGGGCCGGCGGCCGCCCGGCAGCGCCGCGGCCCCCGGAGCCGCGTCGCCGCCCGCCGCTCGCGGGCCCCGAGGGGGGGGCGGGGCCCGAGGCCTGCGCGCCGCTGTCGGGGAGGGCCCCTCGGTCGAGACGATTTTTACCCTCTGGGCCATAACGCGCACTATGCCCCCTACCAGGGCGCGTTTCGATTCTTACGATTCGATTCGACTCGATTTCGATGGATTCCGATTCCGATTCGATTCGATTTCGGATTCCGATGTGGATTCCGATTTCTTATTGGAGGCATACTGGCCTGCCGATTTCCGCCGATTCGACTTTTCCCGATTCGGCTGCCGATTTCCGTCGATCCGATTCATGTCGATTGCCGATCCGATTTATCGATTCGATTCTGGGCTCTCCTGCCCTACTCTTCCTCCCCCCCCCCCCCCCTCTGGTTGAAGAAGAGAAAACGCTCTAAACATAAGCTTTTGGCGCTCCGCGCGGATTCCTTGGATCTGCGCTGGACCCCTTCTGTGGAGGCCGTTCTTTCTTCTTCCAGCCAGGCCTCCCAGACGGGATCCGAGTAGATGGGGTCGGGAGATCGCGCCACATCGCCGGTGCATCGCCAAGGCGGCTAGATGTGGAGCCCGATTTGCTTCACGTCGACGTGGCCGATGCATCGCCGAAGTTGCCGATGCACCGCCGATGCATCGCTGATGTATCGGCGATGCGGCGCGATCGTCCGACCTGGTATACCCCGACCCCATCTAGGAGGCCTCTACCCCCCATCATAACGTAACGATCCCTGTCATTGCGTCCCTGGCACTGCCGCAGTCCGTCCAGCGCCACAGTCTGGGAGGGGGGCGCTACGTGATGCCCCCT